CAAGGGCAGGACCAACGCCCTTGGTTGCTTTTCTTTGCTCTGCACTGGCTGGCATTGTGAGAAGCTCTCAGTGTTTGTCGTCACTTTATCAGCACGGCTGATAAAAATGAGGCAGTTAATTCCATCTTTGGGATTTCATTTGCAATTAAATGGATGGTGATGCCTTGGTTATGGCTTAATTAATAAATTCAATAAACATGAATTAAGGATCTGATGAGTCAGACTCTGTGCTAAGCACTGGCTCCACAGAGATGAATGGCAGGTCTCTGCTCTCAAGAAGTTCGTAGTCTAGTAAGAGACGAACACGTGCAAACAGATATTTATAATGCCGAGGGTAATTGCTAGAGAATAGGTTTGTTTAAAGGACTGTGAAAACCCAGAGGAGGGAACAAAAAACTGCACTTGCTGACATGATGGATTATCTCGGTTTTGACGGATGCAAACAAAACTTCCAAAGAGGCAGAGGAAAGCATCCAGGCAAAATAACAGGGGGTGCCCAGACACAGAGGCTCGGTGAGGCAGGAAGCCTTGTCTGAACAATCTGAGCATCTCAGTGTGTCTAGGACATGGGCTATGTGATGGGGAATGAGGCCAGACTGTGAAAGCCCTTTTATACCAGCTCAGGAATTGAGACTTTCTGCGATACTGACAGAGAGCCAAAGGGGGTTTTTAACACAGGGGAGTGCCACGATCCTGTCTGCCTTTTAAGAAGATACCCTTTGGTCTCCTTCTGCCTAGAGGGCCAGGAAGGGCTGCCCAGAGGCCAAGAGAGGCTTGAGGATTGAATGGAGTGAGGAAGAGAAGCTGATGGCAGAGACCAGTTTAAGAAGAAGTTCTAGTTACACTGGGACTGCTCTGGCAGTGGAGAGAACCCAGCAACTGAAAGAGGAGGAGGCATGGACGAAACGGGGAACCATTAACAAAGAAAGAGGGAAGCTTACACCGGCTTTTTAAAAAGGCCTTCCTATAAAAATTATATACATTAGCTAGACACAAATATCAGTCAGCTTGGTTACAGACACAAGCAAAACAAATTGAGAGAGTAAATGGCTGAGGACAACTTGGTCCCTTTTTCATTCACGTGTAGCTATAATGGGTCACTGCATCATTTGCCCTGGTTTCCTCCTAGTCATCTGTAGAATTAACCCATATCAAAACTTCCTTTACCAGAACCTGAGGCTAGCCCACAGCTGTCCAGTTGCGTCCCAAGCTTTACTAGGCAGCTTCCCGGCCACCTTGGATATCCTTTCACAGCCTTCCTGACAAAAGCCGTCTGGTTCGCCACTGTTGGTGGAGATGAGACAGATGGTAGAAAGCGCGCCAAGAGGCTTCACAGGGTGGCGGTACCTCACCTGGGTCACCAGAATCCAAATTCCCATCCTCAGTTTTGCAGACTCCCCGAACCCAATCTCCTCAGTGTTCCAAAGTTAATTGAGTTCAGAATGGCCGAGCTAACAATTTTGCCAGTTCATTAATTTACCACGAGAAAACTAACGCCAGACTTACTCTGTTCTGACATTTCCACAAGAAGCCAAATTACAACTCGAAAGTTGAGTGGTGAGCAAGGAATCCCAGTAACAGGAGATGGATGTGTGCTCAAACAATTGATGCCACTGGGGAGAGTTGTCCGATGCCGCCACGTCCCTCAAAGGAATGTCCCTACCTAGACACCCAAGCAACACCCGTCTCCTGGTGGCAGTATACCTGAGTTGTAGACTAAGCTTTGGGGAACAATATTCTCTGAGATGCTCATATTACTGACTGTGGAAGCTGAAAAGTAGTGGCCAATACCAAGCCTCAGAATTAAATCTGATTAATTCGATCTGTAGTTGCCACAGAAAGAGCCAGCCTGTGTCTGGCGTGTTCTAAGTGCCAGCCATCATGCTACAGCAATAAACAAGACAAGAAATCTGCTGTCAGGAGTCTTAGAATCCAGTAGGAAGCAGACATGTTGGAGTAAGTTGTGACTCAGGGTCACATTAGCTGGAATGAAAGCTTGTTCTAGAGGTGGTGGGAGCCAGGATGAAGGGCCCTAACCCTCCTAGGGGTCAAGGAAGGCTGCACAGAGGCCAGGAAGCTTAAGCCAATCCTACTTCAGTATCTGATTTCCACAATTAAAGAAAATGCATTTTTTTATGACCATGTGTCATCAAGAATACAATCATATAGGAAACTGCTGTTATCCTTGTGCTGTGTTTCTTTTTAATCTCATACATTAAGATTTGTTCGTATAGATTTGGAATCATTCAGTGTCACACTGCTTTCACTTAGCATGATAACATGAGTCGCTCCCACGTAAGGTAATAAAAACGCACTTAAAAAATTACTGCTTAATATTCCATCATCTGGCCATACCATGACTTATTTAACCAAACCTTGTTGTTGAACACTTAGGTTATTTTCAATTATTCGATATTATAAATAAAACTGTAACCGAGAGGCCCCTGGAGATAATGTAGCAAAATCCTTTCTCTTTGCAAAGGAGGGAATTGGGCTGCAGTGCATTTAAGTGATTTGCCCCAAATCACATGGCAAGCTAATTTAGGGGCTGGTTTAGACTCCTGAGGTAACACACCTGGGGAAGGAGGGAGGGAGGTGGGTTATCTGAGGGTTGATAAAAATGAAAGTTCCTGGAAAGAATACCATGGGCAGGGAGAGCGAGGACCCCAAGTGGGGAGGAGCAGGGGGCGTCGGGGTTTTGCAGATGCCAGTGAAGTCACGTGAAACACTGCCCGTTCAGGATGCCGACACCAGCCTCTCAGCGCTCGGGGCTGTGAGCAGGGCGGCCCTTCTAAAGAACCTTGAGACCACCCTGAACAGCATGGCCCAGCAGGTCTGCTGCCAGGAGTCCGCCCCAGGGAGTCGGCACACACATGGGTAGTCATTGAAACACTGTTTATAACACACACACACACACACACACACACACACACAAAGATAAACCATGTCAACAGGGCAGATGGATAGGGCCTGAATATGGGCCCTCAACAGACTGGGTGTTGCCCACCCGCACTGGGGAGGGTGACCCGCTTTACTCAGTGCGTTAGACAAATGACCCAGTCCCTGAGTTAGAGGAATCTCAGTCTTCCTCCTGTGTCCCCTCTACTGCTCACACAGAACACGCACAACACTTCTGGTCACCACCTATGTATGTTTTTTCCCCTACACCAACCGATTCTCCACACCATCAGCTGGGTGTCCTGCAATTTAACCCAATTCTGACGCTGTCCACCTGGAGATAGTGTCAGATCCCGCAGGGTAAGGACTCTGTCCTGCAGGACTGCTCCCACCCCACATCATATGCCAAGTGACCGCACCTTAGATGCCAGTCGCACATCCAGGTTGTCCCCTGTGCTCCTGGCTGACTGGCTATAAACCGGACGCTCCCAAAACCACCTCTCTGGGTTCAGTTAATATACTAGAGCAGCTCACAGAACTCAGGGAAACTCTTACTTACATTTACTAGTTTGTTAAAGGGCATGAAAAGAACACAGATGAGCAGCAAGATGAAGGGCTGCTAGGGTGAGGTCTGGGAGGGTCCCGAGCACAGGTGCGTCTGTCCCCACAGGGTTGGGGTACCTGTCCCTTCTGGAGTGGATGCTGTTCACCAGCCTGGAGTGTCCGAAACCCCCTACAATTGGGATTTCATGGGGGCTTCCTCCGTGGGCATGATCAATCATTAACCCCATTTCCGGGCCCTCTTTCCTCTCTGGAGCCAGTGAGGGACTGAAAATTCCAAGTTTCTAATCATGGATGCGTCTTCCTTGTGACCAGCCATCCAGAGCGCCACCTCGAGTCACCTCAGTGGAACAAGAGATGCCCAGTGCTCTTACCACTGAGGAATTCACAAGGGGTTTAGGAGCTCTATGCCAGAAGCCGGGTCCAGAGACCACTATGTATCTATGTTCTACTCTTTTCTACTCCCTCACCCAGGCCACTGAGTCGCACACTAATCTCCTCTGGAAACGCCCTCACAGACACACCCAGAATTAACGCGTAGCCAAGTATCTGGGCTCCCTGTGAGCCAGTCAAGTAGACGCATAAAGTCCACCACCACAGCGCTGAACGTCGGGGGAGGGTTAGGTAGACTGCGGTACCTTCACAGGATGCTGTGGTGTTCTGAGATCACCTCTTTTTTTGGGCTCAGCTGGGCCTCCCCCGCGTCTCTCCATCGGGCTGCGGCTGACCTCGCCCAGTTCAGCCTCTCCCTCGGGCCTCCCCAGCACGCACCTGCTCTTTGCCCTCCGCCAGTGTAGCAGGATCTGAGGAGAAAGAAGAGAGACACACACATGGGCAATCTGCACTATTTAACTGGAAGAGCACTGCTCTTACGCAAAGAAATGATAAAGAGTGATAGAAACCTTCACACTCTTTAATCCAGGAATCCCACTTAATGTAAGTAAATGCTTTTAAAAAACGAAACAAAACCAGAGTTAAAACTAGAACTACTACCGCACTGCATAATGGATAGCAATTTAAAGTCCAACAGTATGTCATACGTAATTTAAAACACAGTGAGTGCCGGCCATAAAAAAGAATAAAATAATGCCGTTTGCAGCAACACGATGGACCTAGAGGTTATCATATTAAGCAAAGGAAGTCAGACAAAGACAAACATCATTATATCACTCATATGTGGACTCTGAAAAAAAAATGATACAAATGAACTTACTTACAAACTAGAAACAGACTCACAGACAGAAAACAAACTATGGTTACCAAAGGGGAAAAGGGTTGGGGGCAGGAATAAAGTAGGAGCTTGGATTAGCAGATACACACTACTATGCATAAAATAGATAAGCAACAAGGTCCTACTGTACAGCACAGGGAACTGTATTCAACATCTTGTAATAACCTATAATGGAAAAGAATATGAAAAAGAATAGATATGCATGTATGTATAAATCACTTGGCAGTACAGCTGAAACTAACACAGCATTGTAGATCAACTGTATCACAATTAAAAAAATTAAATGCCCCTCCAAAAACTATAGCGGGTTCATATAAGATAGTAGTGGGTAGCTTTAAAAAAAATACGTGATAAGATGAAATCTGGGGAAATTCTTCTGTTATAATGTTAAGTGAAAAGACTGGTTACATCTGTGTAAAAATTCACTAGCACAGGAGAAAAAAAAAGAAGACTGAGAAGAGAGACAAATTCTAGGAACTGTGTAAGACCCCTGCTGTTTCATAGGATGTTTTCTTCGGGACTGAAAACTTTCCCTAATGTTGTCACATTGGTTTTGCAATTAATAATTAAGAATGCTACCACCAGCAGCCATTACACCACGGTTAGTTTTGTGGCTTGAGACACTGAATGAAATGCATTTGAACACGGCCACTGCACGGCTGCCAGGCTTTGGATTGGAGGCCAGTGAGCCTGGCGCCCATGGCTGGCCTGTCCTCTGCAGGGAGAACGTTTTCCCACCTGCAGGCACAGCTGGAGCACAGAGAGACCGAGCCCGGCAGACAGTGTGTGTTTGTGTCTGTGAGTCGGTTGTGTCAAAGTACATTGTACTTCACGCCTCTATGCCTCCTGGCACTGAGACACACACAGTTCCTTCCTTGCAACTTGCTCAAAGCTTTTGTTTTTGTTGTTTTCTAAATACGGATGCCATCCCGAAATGTGGAGTTTTTCAATACCCAGAGGACACCAGCCAGAGCTCTGCTCCGAGTGTGCACTGAAGGAAAAGCGTCACTCTTGTTGCTTTCCATGCCGGAGTCTGCACCCCATGATGTAGCTGAACGAAGCATCCAAGGACTGGATCCCACTACGGGCACTCATGTGAGGAGCAGCTCCAATGATGCCCTGATAAGCTGCCCTGAGCGCAAGATGGACCAAAAGCTGGCACTTGGAGCCTAGCTCACCAGCTCCAGCCCACGTGGCTCAGACTGGAGCAGAGGGGGAGGTGGAGAGGACTACCAAAATTCTCTAATCCTGCCTCCTGCACTTCACACAAACCCTTTTATCCTCCCAACCATGAAGCTGTCAGCACCCTGACCCCTGCTAGGATAGCAGACTTTTCACAGGGCAGCAGACGTCAGAATCATCTTCCACGCGTTGTCCTGCTTGCTGCCTGTCAGTGAGCGCCGCTTCCCAGTCCCACCACACAGGAATAGTGCCTGCTATGCGCCCTAATTTCCTGAGATAGGTGCTAATATTACCCCAGTGGACAGATGAGGACACTGGAGCCCAGAGAATTTAAGTAACTGGGCCAACGTCAAAGTCAACAGCTGGTAAGCAGAGATGCTGGGACTCCATCCTGGGCCATCTGACTCCGGAGACCACTCTGTGGGCCCCACTCTGCTGCCCACTGAGCCGATGTCTACCTGTAAGACCCGCATCTGCCGTCCAGAGTCAGAACATAAAGAGGGGCTGGACTCCCCTCCACATGCTAACAATTCAAATGCTGGGACATCATCAGTTCCTCCACTGTATCGCCCTTCCTCTGCACAGCCCCACACCTGCCTGCCTTTCTCAGTCTCTAAGCGGCTTCCCCTGGCCACAGAGCCCTGGCCACAGGGCTCTCACCACACCAAGCTCTACATCTGCGCGGTCTCACCGCTTCACAGCTCAGCTGAGACTGATCAAGCAGAATCCCATTTGTTCTCAGGTATAGAATTATTTCACACGGGGACCTCTGATGGCCAAGTCTCCCGAGGATAAACCAGGTGTAGAATTCTCCGTCGCCTCCATCCCAAACCCTCCATAGGGGATCGGAGGGTCTGAAATCATTCAGAAAGGGAGAAGACAGCTGTTGATGTGTTAGAATCAAATTTCTCAATCTGATTTTCAAAGAAGACTGGCTTTTTATTTCCCTGGAGACCTAATATAACCACCAAGCGAGGAGAAGCAAAAAAGGGAGTAATAATTTGTAAAGTTCCCAAGCAGGAAAGAAGCCACTGCTATCTCGATTTTCCGTAGCATCCCTGTGAACACTGGCACTTGGCAAAAGTAGGAAGGGTGGTTGTTTTGATTGGATAAACTACCAGATGCTGCTGATTAGCTCTGACCTACCAGTGAGAGCCTCTCTACTAGAAGGCAATGTTTATGTACAATTTATTTTGCCTTTAATCTTACAGACTCTGCTAATTTCCATTTAAGTCAGC